TGTAATAATGACAGATTTTGTGTCCTAATGCACAAAAATTATAAAAAAAAAAAATACAAACAATCATTACAATTAATGAAGGTGGCACACGTGAATTCCCACTAATGAAACAATAAATCTGAACCATTCATCTAATAAAAATGAATGGTGTTAGATGAGTTCTCATTTTAAAATGGTTCTCACCTAAGCCATGGGTTCTCACATGATCCCATTTATATATATATATATATATATATATATATATATATATATATATATATATATATATATATATATATATATATATATATATATATATATATATATATTATTAGGAACTATATTTTATGGTATAATGATAATTTAGGATTGTTTGACTTTAGAGTACTAAAATCATGGACTAATATATCGATCATTGTACTGTCCCTAATGTTGACTCCATTCAAACACTTTTTGGTTGGGGGTATTCATTAAAGGGAATGAGAATCAACATGAATCATTCCCTTTGTTGTTGTTTGTTAGGTCTTTTTTCCCATTCCCTTTAACTTCTCCATTCCCCAAAATCATTCCAAGTTGATTCCCCACCACCCCCCCCCAAGGTATTTCCATTCCATTCCCTAGCTACCACCATACCACCACCCTCCCCACCACCGGAAAAGCTAGCCACCCCACCGAAACCCCTCCCTTCACCCTCGCCGTCCCTCCCCCACCCCCGGAACAACCAGGCACCCTAGCGAAAAGCTCCCCACCACCAGAACAACTAGCCACCACACTCCCCACCACCGAAATAGTTAGCCACCCTACCGAAACCCCTCGCCCACCACCGAAATAGGTTTGGGTGGAGATTTGAAATTGGGAGTGTATTGTAGGGTTGATGAGGGTCTACGGAAGACGGTGGTGGTGGTGGTAGGAGAGGAGGAAGAATAAGAAGCGGATGGGTTTACACGGGGTTTCAAGGGTGGTGGGAGAGTCGGTCGACGGTTTTACGGGGAGAGGGAATTGTTTCTAGGGTTTTGCGGGGTTGGGGGAGGTTTTTTCAGGGGAGGGGAGAGTTGTGCGGGCACGGGGAGGTGCATCGAGTGGTGGGGTGGCTGGGTGGTGGCTAGAAATGGTGGGAAGTGTAGCAATTAGGTAGTTGTGTGGTGGTGGTGTGGTGGTTGAATTGGTGGTAGTGTTTCCCTTTGTTTTTAAAACAACCAACATAGAAAATTTAAGGTAATTTCATTCCATTCTTTTCCATTCCCTTTGTTCATTCCATTCCGTTTATCCTGTGTAAACCAAACGGCCCCTTATTGCTTTGCCGCACCACTCTTTACTTTTGTAGTATCTCAATCTAATCTATAAATTAAAGTTTTTTATTTATACCATTTTATTACCAATTACCATTCCATTCTCTGTCACCCTTCTTTATATATTCTCTCTACAATTCAGAACTTGGACCATGAGTTATTATATGGTCAGCGCAATTACAAATTACCTTAGTCATGTCGGGTTATGGTCATGGTAAATTTTAATTAGGTTAATAATAGGTCGGATTTAATTGGATCATGAGTAATTTTGGGTCGGTTTTAATTGGGTTATGGAAAGTTTCAAATTGGGTAATTAAATGTCGGGTAAAAAGAGGTATTTTTCGAGTCTAAAAGGTTTCGAGTAGATTTTGTTTCCGGCTAAATCGAATTCGGATTTTATATTATCGGGTCTTATTGGTTTCGAATTAAATATGAGTCGATTCCAAGTTGGGTTTGGATCATAAATTACCGGGTGGAGTCAGTTTCAAGTTAACATCGGATCAACTCCAGCTCGAATTCGGATAAAAAAATACCCGGATCCATCTAGTTTGAAAACAGTTCGATTTTAGGTAAACCTTTCGGGTCGGTTTATTTTTTTACACCCCTAACTATACTCTTGTTTATTAAAATATTGTAGAGAAATTTAAGACGTGAAAATAGATCACATGTAGTATAACTTTTTTTTTTTTTGGTTAAATTTGAATAGCATACATAGTCAATTATGACATATCGTTGTATACTCATAATATGATTAGCATATATTCCTGCATTACAATGGTTTTTCCCTGCAAGAGAGTTAAAAATCTCTGAGACTAGAGTTTTCGTAAAGGTAGCAACTAGGTGCCAAGCTTGCTCAAATTTCCAGACCCATTTGCTAAAGTTGGCATTCCTTTTTGTACAATGTACAACTATCCCAAGAGTCAAGACACCGTTTTGTTGATTTCGTTTGTATAGGTATGTCTATCATCCTAATAAGGTTTTACAATCCAGTCTCATATAGTCTTAATAAGACATTGCAGGAATGTAGACTATGTAGTAATAGAAGAGTCAAGATATTGTCGAATTTTCGCAGTGTGTGGAAAAAGCTACAGGCTGAATGATTCCAACCGGCCAGCTTGAAAGCCTTCAGAGTCTAGACTCATCTTGAATTCGTATAGTTGACATTCCATTCCGTACTGACAATGTACAACTATCTCAAGTCAGCATTTATTCCTCTGTATGTTATGTCATCTTCCTGTCAATTCCCATTTTCGACAAAAGCAGTAAAAAAAAGGTTCATAACATGTATCACCATCTTCAATCTGCAGTCGAGTTACCCTTCAAATTAAGTGGCCCTTCACTAAACATAGAGCTACTTGTATTTATTCTGCCTCAAATTCCTTCAAGTGCTTGCAGCATGGCCTTGATTCCTCTTTTGCTTTATTCACCTGTTATACTTTTAGATGTGATCACCGGTCAACCTCAAACGCATTCAGCTTCATCTTTTAGATGAATGCACCTTAAGTTACTCGGATTTTCCCTTACACTTCAAGTGCCTATGTCGGATCCTTGACATTTCATTTCAGATAAAGTCTACCTCAACCACATTTTGAGCTGCATATATATTAGAGGGGTGCATTGTACCAAACCCAAATCTTGTAGACTTGCAGATAATGAAAAGTACCTTAGCATCACACTAGTGTTCAGTCTCAGTACATCCTGGTACTGATTTCTGACAAAACATAAAAGGCCTTATCAGTATACATAATACTCATAAAAGGGCACAAACCAGAATCTGATTCTAAAGTTCATTTCTAACAGACTAGAAAATATGTCCATCTTCTTTAGCTGATTTTATAAGAAGATCTACTAGAGCTATCATCCTGAAGTATGACATATGTTTCGGTTTTTTCAGGATGATAAAGATAGCATTGACAATTGCATACACGAGCATTACTTTTTTTTCCGAATGAAGGTAAAGATGTATGCTAAACATTGTACAAAAAGCGCGCAATTCTGTGCTACTTGATATATATTCTAAAATTCTTTGCACAAGTAGCAAAACCTTTGCCACTTTTGTAGATTTTTTTCTAGATTGAGTGAAATATGGAATATTACTGACTTTGTATAGCCTAAGTCCACCTTCCAACTTTAACTACCAAAATGGCAAAATCTCAGGGTAACTGCTATTGCCAAATGATTTTATCAGCCAATTTTTGGCCTTGAACCGTAAGACTACTTATTAACATCATAGGTAGAAGTCGTAGAACTGTATAACTTCTCATTGAATCTCATTTCATACTGTAGGAAATTTTGTTAACAACTAACTTTACAAGTTTAACTTTTCCGAATAATTACCTTATACTTTAAACTTTGTAAACAACTAGCTTTTACTTTGATTATGTTTATTTTGGTATCACTGCCTTTTAATGGATTCTGTCAAAATTTCTAACATTGGGGTCACATCCAACAATTTCAAAACTTATTAACCTTAATTATGCCCATTTTACCTCATTAAACTCATTTTAAATACCTCAATGCAAAATTTTGTTAATCCAAACCCCAATTAAAGATATAAACATGACAAATGAAAACGTAAGAGTTAAATGATTTATTTCCTCCCTCTTATTTGTTTTCCACTCTATTTCCAATATTCAAACCATCTAGTGTATTTATCTTTTCCAAAAGAGATAAAAACTTTTTTTTATTTTAAGTTCTTAACTATTCAGGATTAAATATGTATAAATCTGGATGTCATCAAAAATTTTGTTTTGATGGGATTAAAATACCTTCTATTCACCTATTTTTTACTCATACAAACTTATCTTATCTAAAATAACTTATCAAATCTTATTACTCTATTAGAACATATTTTAATTGTAAATTGAACCTGTGTAACTCTTATCAGAACTTATTTATCTTGACTTTAAAATTGTATTTTCTTGAAATAAATGAAAATAAGGTGAATTTGAATTGCAAAAAGTTTTTTTTGAAAACATCCTAGCTAGTTAATTCTGGGAGCCAAAGTAAAGGCATTAAGCAGAAGTACATGGTAAAACCACAGATCTACCATTACGTCTTCATTTAAAGTACCATTTCTTCTTGTATGGCTCAGACAGTTCTCTTAGTTTAAAAGGTACCAATGCAGTACAGTACAGTACAGGTAGCCAAACTATTTTTCAGTCACCAGTCATCCAACACTGTCTGTAGGATTTTAGGTGAAAACAGAAGTACAGATATCGACACAAAAATTTCTACGGCGAAAGGTTTAGTGACAATCAGCTTCTTTTGTACACTTGAAAATTACGCTCAGTTTCAAAGGCACTGATGCAATGTACAAGTTAACAAACTGTGTGATAAGAAGTTCTTCCAAAGACATGTAATGCGTTACTGATGAATTCGCAAAGTTTCTAGTCATGGGCTCTTCTTTTTCCATGAAGAAAAAAATTGTCATTAACAAACTGTAAACTTTTTTTTTTCCTTCTTGATATGACCAAACATGCAATGTATACATCTCCCATAGGCCATAGTCCACATAGTGACATATGAAGTACTATATACGTAGTACTAAGAAAGGTTGACCTCCACAAATTACTTTTATATACATATATAAAAGGGAAATCTTTAATAGAATGGGAAATCTTTTATAGAATTAGATTCACTTTAAATCAAGATTTTTGACATGGTACATTCTTTAAAAAAGGTAGCAAGATAAAGCAATCTGGAATATAAATCGACTAACCTGTATAAATAGGCTGTTGCAGCAGCTCAATTTTGTCATTGCAAATATAGCAAGTCTTTTAACAAATCTTAACTGTTTCGTACAAACTTCTCTTTTCATAATCTTCTTCACTTTACATCCATAAAGAAACCAAACCGCAGCAAAATCCTGCAGGAAACAAAATATTATCCTAACTTGCTAAAAAATGGAAACAGTGAAGCGTTTAGTAGATGGAAAGCCGGTGGTAATATTCAGCAAGAGTACCTGTTGCATGAGCCACTCAGTGAAGCAGCTAATAAGCAGCTATGGAGCAAATGCAACAGTTTATGAACTCGATGAATTACCAAATAGAAATGAGATTGATAAAGCACTGCAAAAACTCGGGCTTAAGCCTAGCGTGCCAGCTGTTTTCATAAACCAAAGGTTAATTGGTGGAGCTAAGGAAATCATCAGCCTGCAAGTCCAAGGCAGGTTGGTTCCGATGCTTATGGAGGCCGGGGCTATTTGGGTTTGGAACAAAACTCACTAGTTACTTTACCTCCCTTTCGATGTTGATGTATAAAGCTTTCTTTTTTCCTTGCCCAAAAAAGAAGAGGACTGTAATATACAGGAATAGAGGCTCCAACCGTGTTGATTCTGCAATGTCTGCAGAATTCAAGGTTTTTGAAAAGAGAATGCATCACATGTCAATGTATAAGTGGCCCTTATGTAGTCTGTAATTATATATAGTTAATTTATGAATGAAATGCAACAAAAGATAATCTTTGAGACTCAGCATTATCCTTTGATGGGAATGTCAATCATCAATTCAAAATTAACTTGTCAGAACTGAGCTTAATTATCACAAATAGAGAAAAAAAAAAAATTGATAAGCAGCAAGATGGGAAAAAAGGAAAAGGATTAATTAACCAAAGCGATATACAATTGTTAGTTGAAAAGAAGCAAGCCATATTAACCAATTATAACCTTTATCCTCAATAATGCATGGTAATCGACAAAGAAAGTGAGAAAGTGTACATTCTGAATAAATGGGTAAAAATATTCTGACTCCAGTCAGTTGCTTCTGAATCTCATAGTTGATGACATTGAAAAAAAATTGTCAAACTTATGCAGATTAATTGAGAGAGAGAAAGAGGGATCTTCATGTCCTTCTAAATTCCTAGTAATTGTGTTTGGTTACTGGTGAGAAACACATTTCACATGATAAAAATTGAGATAAGAATGGAACATTTTCCATACAAAATCCTGTAGAACAAATTGAAATGAAGATACCATATTAGAAACAGCCCTTCTAACTTTCATCAATTTCAAATTACTCGATGATGAATTATGCTGCAAGAGCAAATTTTAATTTGTTGTGAGCACTAAATTTAACAATACAGAGTGTTTTAAGGTTATATAGAACGCAAGAAAAGTACAACAACACTTACTATATTTTTATCATAAACAAATGAACTTCTAGAGAAACTAACTAATGCTCTGGTTGTGTAAGCAGTATTTCTAATAAAATTTTCGATGCACTCCAACAGCTTGCATTGTCTGCAGTATCAGGTCAAGAAGGATTAGGACAATTAGTGATAAATGGTTTCAGTTTGTCATAGCCACTGTAGTTTATATATTCTTTTAGCTGTAGCATGAGGACATCAAAGAAAATTTATTGAGCAATGATGCTACAGCTACATTTTTCCGTTCTTTGTTTGCTATAATTCAGTGTGCAATTGTGCATTATTACGAGTAACCATTTACAAAAAATAGCTAATTTCTATATAACTCTAGAAAACTATATTTTCTGAGTGTTGCAAGTTTATCGGAGTTTTCAGTTTTTCATTCAATCAATCAAAAAGATCCAGTGTTTTACATGGAGAAAGAATTGAAAAGTTAAAAGGTAAAGTACTTTTCTCATTACCAAAGATTAGTTACTGTAATTTTTTCAGGGCATATTTTTAATTATCTCAATATAGTTCATGCTTCACTTTTACTGTACTAAAGAATCAGTCTATCCTCTAAAAAAGGCACCAAATACAGTAAGTGATGACAAACCAGGAATATTGACAATTGAGGGATCTCAAGGGGACAATAGTAGTTTTGTCAAGTTGCCTCATTCACTGTACGAAACTGATCTAGATAATATAGAAATCATCAAAATTTTCTCCATATGAAAACACAGAACGAAAAGAAGAATAAAGGTGAAATCTCAAGGTACGTAACTGATTTTAGATGTCGGAGCCAGGATCTTCTTGCTCACGTAATTTACCACAAACAGGATGCCTCAAGATGATATTCTAGCTGTACTTGTATTACAGTTGAGTTTATTCCTCTGACACAGGCATGTCCTTATCTCATCAATCCTGTAGATTGCCTTAGATCCTTATAGGAAGGTTGCCTATAGAGTTGGCCATTGGCTTCTCGTAGGGCTGCCTTTCGAAATCAGTGGCTATCTTGTTTCTGGAGTTCTGCTTATCAAAAGACAGTGTTAGAAAACCAAAATGGAACCTTTCTATTAAGATAAAGTTTACAAGAATCATTGGAATCAATAAAGATGCTAAGGTCAGAAAAGCAAAAGAATAGCTTAATGAAATACGTATGTACATGGCTGTCATGACAAAATAGACAAATAAGCAAGAGCAAACGTTTCACTATACTTTGAAATGAGTTAATCATTTTAGATAAGTTTTATTTTGAATTACTGATAATAACAAAAATATTCATGCTATCCTTAACCCTTTGTATACAGGCTTACCATTATAGATGCTGACAGATACTGAAGCATGTTGAGTGCTATGTGTACAATTATAATCATGGTAATGATTAATCAAGATGTAATCAGGACTTCAAATAAAGAAATGGTAGCAGCCCATTCATCCGTTGACAATTTTTAATTCAGTCATTTTTAATCACAGTAATATCAGGAGATTTAAATTTTTTAAGGCTAATGCAATGACACAGATATGTTACATACCAAAGTACATTTTTGACAAGTACCACCTATACTGCAATTTCTGCGCATAAGCAGCGCCATATCATATACTTTGTATTAAATAAAAGAGGAAGAAGAAAAATAATGTTATATCAAGAGAACCTAATCTGAAGCATATTTGTGCTAGGAAGAATCATCCATGCATCTCTTTTATTATTCTCCAGAATGACCCAAGTTGAGATTCTATTCCCACTGCATACTCAATTAATCCTTGTACTAACAATGTTCTTAATTTGCATATGATGATATCTTGACATGTTTTCAACAGTAAAAAAAAAAAAAAAAAAAAAAGAATGTCATTTACCTGACCTATATGACAGCAACTCTCATGTGACATTTTTATTTTTTTTTTGAATAGATGTGACATTTAATTAGCTTATGTAACAAAATGTAAACACTTCACTTTTAATACATAAGAGACAAAACAAAATATTTGGATGAAGAACTTACGCAGTGCTTTCATTGTGCATTGTTAACACTTCCTTGCCAAGATAATATACTGCCATGAATTACTGTTAAAAAGTTTGTTATCCTGAAAATACACGAAAGAAGATTAAATATTAACTCATAAAAGACTGAGATTAAATGCATTTCCTACTTCAAATGCATTCAGGAACTACTTGTTTTCCATTAGAATTTATCATTTATCCTTTACCAAACACCATATGAACCCAACATAGTTCAGTTTGACAAGTGTCCCAAGATCATTCATGCTATGTTTCCTATAATTTTGGCAAATAGGTGAAAAATGATACATTATATCCCATCAGGTCATTCTGCAGCCAACCAGCTTTCTGGTCAGGAAATTGTAACAAAGATTTAGACACAGAACCCTTATTTTATTCTAAGGAGCATCAAGATGCTTCTATCATCAGCAGCTCCATCAAGTTCTTCCGTAGAAAAAATGTAAACACTTATAGTCCGGTAACAAAATAAAGATTCCTGCTTAAAAACATCAATGTATCTATTTGCTTCTGTAGAACTCTAGAAAAATAGGTGCTTAGTAGAACCATGGTCATTTTCAACTCTGAGAAGAGAAAATTCTTGAATAAAAGGATTCCCATAGTCTTATTACTTCCATAACTTTTGAGAATATTATCAGCAAAAAGGTATCATGCACTGACCATGTTGGGCTATAAATAGATGGCATGATAGCTCTAAGTTACTCACAGCATAAGCAAGAAATCCTTTCTTTAAACGTGATCACAGTACCACATTCAATCCTCATCTGCCTCAGTCTTTTTTGTATTCTGAATGCAGACCTTCCATCACCTCAAAATCTAAAACCGCAAATATTTTAGCTATTTTACAAGCAATGGATGTTGTAAACAGATTGGTGGAACAGAAGCCTTTGGTAATCTTTACCAAAAGCTCTTGTTGCATAAGCCACTCAGTGATGCAGCTCATTAGTAGTTATGGAGCAAAAGCAGAAGTCTATGAACTGGATAACATGCCCAATGGGCAAGAAGTAGATAAAGCGCTTCAAAGACTAGGGCTTTGGCCAAGTGTTCCAGCTGTTTTCATAGGCCAAAAATTAGTTGGTGGAGCTAAAGATATTATTAGCCTGCAGGTTCAAGGAAGACTTGTGCCAATGCTTAAGGAGGCAGGAGCTTTATGGGTTTAGAAAAACATTGCTTACGTAAATTTCATAATATTCTAAATTTGTCTTTTAGATACTACTATATTTTCAAAACTTGTAACTAAGAAAGAACTAGCTTCTTCTTTTTAATTCCTTCATCCATGTTTTTCATTATTGGATGAAAACATGTTTACATGTAGCATATATATTGTATAATGTTTTTGAAGCTCAACTAATGAAGTATGTATTTCACTAAATTACTATAAAGCCTTCAATATTGATTTATTATTAGAGTTCCCTTAGTTTATTATAAACTTCAGCATCATACACATTCAGCTAGCTGAGTTGCCATGATATATTAACAGTAGTAGAGCAGTGAAAAGTAGACCACAGTTGGGAGCCAAAAATGACTAGAAGATGGGACCAAAACATGGTCTAGAAATTATTTATATGCGAACAGACATTAAAACTTGAAACACCCGGAGTACAAGAGATAAAGAAAAGGAAACAAGCCTGCAACATTAGAAATATTTTTAACAAAATTACGTAGGTTCTAAAGCACCACATCTACTATACATAAGCCAAAACATGTCATTCTGTACCAAAGCCAGTGAAGTGAGATGGCCTCTAAAAGGATAAATCTGGAACCAAATGACCTATGCTAAGTTTTCTAATACATTTGAAATTTCACAAACGACATTGATCAAGAGAATAAGTAAAAATACAATCAATGACTTTGATGCTTATGACTTGATAGCTGAGACCTTGCCCTTGAAGAATCAAACACGAAAGGAGAGCAACAAATCATAAGCTTCAATTATCTTAGAATCTAGGATAGCCCATTTTGATAATTGTGATAAACAATACTACCAAGTCATTTATGAATATTGCATGGTAAATACAACCCGAAAATAAAATGGGGAAGCTAGGAAGAGAAACATATGTGACCCTTTATACATGGATTCATATGAGTTTTTTTTTGTTTTTTTCTTTCTTTTTTTTTAATATGTTATGAGAGCAGAATGTCAGATAGTTCAATACAATCCATGCTTCACTTGTATTATACTCAATATTAATTCTTATAAATTGTACAATCAAGCAAGTTTACTTAGATGGTGGTATGTAATCTGCAAGTCCAGTAGAAATAACTGATCATATTAATATGGACTTTGTAATCCTAAACTAGGCACAAGTACTATAATATAACTAAATGATGAAAAACTAGGAATGTCAACCATTGAGGCATGTAAACAAAACACGAGCAGCTATGTCAAGTGACCTAAGTCAATAAATAAATTTGAGAAGGATAACATAAACAGCACCACACTTTTTTTCTTCTGAAAAGCTGAAAAGAAAAGAAAAGGTAGATGCTCAGTGTACGTAACTGATTTTAGACATTAGACTTCAAATGAGATATTCCAGCTGTACTTGAAGTACCGCTAATTATTCCTCTGACATAGGCATGTCCTTCCCCCCCCCCCCCCCAGTTCCTTGATCAGGGAAGATTTCACTAGATCCTTCCAGAAAGGTTGTCCGTTGGCTTCTCGTAGGGCTACCTTTAGAAATTAAGAGGTAATCTTCTTCCAAAATTCTGCTTAACAATAGAATATGGTATTGTAAAACAAGAATGGAACCTTTCTATTAAGATAAAGCTGACGGAATCAGATAAGAAGCCAGTATGCACACCTTAATGCTAAGGCTATGAATTTTCCACATCTCAACCACCAGAAGCATAGCTGCATGAATACCACATGTACGTGGCTCACAAAAGAGAACATAAATATACTATGTCATGAGCCAATCAATTTGAATTTGATCTTTTGAATTTAACATTTAAACAGTCATGCTACCCTTTAACCCTCGAGACATATTTCAAAAAAAAAAACTAAAAAAATTTACATTGATTTTTTACTATGATGACACCATTATGGATGGCATAAATATGATAATGGAAAATCAGAAAAAGTGAAGATATTATCAGGATCTTCAGATAAATTAAAGATTGCAGTCCCATAATCCTATGACAGAATAGATAAATTCCATAGTGTGAAAAATTGATAGTTTATAATCCCAATTACACTCATATCAAAAGAGATGCCAAGATATACGAAGCTATCTCAATCACTTGTTAATAGTAAGTACCCAAGTACAATTCAACTTGTCCTGCTGATACCATTTCTGCCAAAAGCAGCACCGCATTATTTATTGTACAAACGATAAAAGGATGCCAAGAGAACCTAACCTTGCATCCCTTATTTTCTTTCTGCACCGTGTCTCATACTCTTTTGTGAACTGTCCAGCATGATCCAGAATAACCCATGGTGACATTCCTTTCACACTACATCCTCATCTTATCCTTATTTTAATAAAATTGTTTCTACCCTGCATATGACAAAAACATAACATTTTCTTTAACATTCAAAAATAAAACAAAACAAAACAACACAAAACAAAAGAAAGAATGTTTTTTTAGCATTATTAAATGTAGTTAGCTATTAAAAAATAAAATAAAAATAAAAATAAAACTCAGTATATGTTATGTGCCACACATAAAAAATGTCATTCATGATACGGAGTAATAAGATTTGGAAGAGCTTATGCGGTACTTTCATCTTGCATTCTCAAAAGAATCAAGTTCACACTTCCTTGACAAGACCTATCGACTGTTGCACTTAGACTGTTTAAGATTTTTGTAACATGAAAATAGAATAACATTTACAACTAGTTTAAAGACTCAATTTGACACTAAATTATAAGAGTTTTAGTTGTTTTTGTTTTAAATTATCATTTCTCCTTTACTAACCACCCTACGAATCCAAAAGAGATGCAATCAGGAAAGTATGCAACTTTATTTCATGCTAACTGCAGTTTTGGCAAGCAATTGAAATTTGAACAGACTATCACAAGAGGTCACTGACCTGCATCCAGGAAGCGTGCTGGTAAGAAACTTCATGCAAAAGACACGGATAAATTGTTGAACCATTCCCTCTACACTTTCATTTTGCAAGTTAAAAACGGTTTTCCATCCCATTTCATTAAAACTGTTCGATTCACTAGAAGGCTGATACATTTTTTTTATTTATTTTTTTTATGTAATGAACTTCTGTAGCAGAGAGTGCATATTAACAAATCAGCAAGGCCTATAATTGCAATTCAATAGGCCCTCTAATAATAAAGAGAAAAAGGCAAATAGTAAAATCATTGAGTTCACAATCCCTGATTATTGCTTTTGTGGAAGCTCGTAGGTGTAGTGCAGATAGTAAAAGTCCATAAAAATTTTGCACTATGTACAGTTAATTACCATAGTGATTTATGAAAGGATATTAAAACCCTCATTATATTATATGTGATCCCGTTTAACATCAAGTAGTTTCTACCATCATCAGCTCAAGTTCTTCAATAGAAAAAAGTAAGCACTGTTAGTTCGGTAGCAAAAAGAAGATTCCTTCTAAAAGAGATAGAAGACCATGGTCATTGTCAACATTGAGAAAGGAGATATTTAAGAATAAAAGGACTACTACTGAGTAAGATTTCATCCACAACTTTTGAGTATGTAATCAGAGAAAAAGTAACATCCACTATAACCGAATTAGCCTATAAATAGATGGTCTGGTAGCTCATTTTTATTCACAGCAGAAGCAAGAATTCTAGTCCTAAAACTTGATCACAACATCACATTCAATCCTTAGAGCCTGCTTCTTTTTTTATCAAGAAGCTTCACAAAGAAAGAAAAGAAGTCCTTCACACTTCCCAAAACCTAAAATTACATACCTAACAAGCAATGGATGCTGTGAACAAATTAGTGGAACAGAAGCCTTTGGTAATCTTCACCAAGAGTTCTTGCTGCATAAGCCACTCAGTAATGCAACTCATAAGCGGTTATGGAGCAAACGCAACAATCTATGAGCTAGATAACATGTCCAATGGGCAAGAAGTTGAAAAAGCACTCCAAAGACTAGGGCTAAGGCCAAGTGTTCCAGCTATTTTCATAGGCCAGAAGTTAGTTGGTGGAGCTAATGAGATTATTAGCCTGCAGGTTCAAGGAAGACTTGTGCCAATGCTGAAGGAGGCAGGAGCTTTATGGGTTTAGAATAAACTAGTTTATGTGTAACAAGAAAACCATAATATCAAAATTTTCAGATGTTTAACATAGAAGGATCTAGATTCTTCATTTTGATTCCCTTCCATCTACATTTTTCTGAATAGGAGGGAAGGGTGTTTTACTTTTCATACATAAATACTAATGTAAGCAGCAGCCTACATTTTGTTGTGTAAATAAAGTTCAAGTAATTGAAGTATCAATTCCAATAAACACTTGTATAACCACTAGAATTATATATTATCTAGTGTGATTTTAGTTAATTATAAATTCATCATCAAATATGAACAAATTTCAGTTGTCATACAAAATTACAGACCAGTAGAGCAGTAATTACCTGATCACAGATTGGAGCAAAAGTCTATACACGGACATAGCTGTATAAACTTAAAGCACCAAGAGCACGAACAGCCTAAATAGAAATAAAAGCAAAAAAATAGATTCTAAAACAACACTTCACTTTAACTATAAATTAAATATCAAAGCTACTGATATGAGAAGGTTTCTTTGCGAATATATTGGGAAATTTAAGATCAAAGATGAGTATTTCTTTAGCATCAAAACTCTTACAATTTTTATTAAGGCACTATTCTCCACACCTTATTTAAATAATATTTGGTAAAACTTATTTAAGTTCAATAAATATAAGTTAAGTTTGATAAAAAAAAAAAAAAAAACATTTTAATTAGTAAAAATTTGTAAATTGTAAGAATGTTTAATAATAAGGATCCATGAAAATAATTTGAGTTCAGTAAAAAAATAATTTAAGTTTAGCAAAAATAATTTAATTTCATTAAAATTAATTTCTAAAAATAATTGAGTATCGCAAAAATGAGGTGAAAAGAACATGAGCTAAATAAGATAACCTCAGTTTTACAATAGATGCAACGATTTGACTTATCTGCTATGTCAAATCACAAATTTGACCATTATTTTTTGTATTTATCCATTACTAAAAAATTACAGAAAAATTATATTTTGAAAATATACATTGAAATCAATCCAACAATATTTTACATATAATTATTATATTTTTATATATTAGTGAAATATATAGTCTAAGTTAATAAAAATAATAGTGTAAAAATTCAAAACAGCACATGCTTGGGACTTGGCACTTGAGACAATGCAGTTATGGAAGTAATCAAGTAAATAAGGAGAGACTTGAGAGAGATATACAGTAAATTTCCAAGGTTCAATCATTGTGATCAATATATTGAGAAAAAACTAATACTGAACAATATTGTATGAATTATCTGTACACCAGAAAATAGGTTTGGGAGGTTATAACAATTTGTACACTATGGCAAGAGCGCACATTCCTCATTTTGCGCCCAAAGAGCAAATGTGCTTATGTAAAAGAACGTGTCATTGTGATTAAAAAAAAACAAAAAAAAAAACATATATATACTCTTTTATTTACTATTTTAGCTACAAATATAAGTCATGTTTTGTGCTCTTTTATCATAATGTCATGTTCTTTTACTTAAGTTTTTGTGTTCTTTGAGTTCATAGTGCTCATTGTGAATCTTGGTCCACCATATAAATTGCAGAGGTCAGTTAATGAAAAATTATGTCAGTGTAATCCACGGTTTACTTGTAATGTACTCAAGAATCAATTTATCTTGTACAATCAAGCATATTTAATTATAGAAAGGTACGTAATCAGTACAGTCCAGTAGCAATACCTCACAAATTTATAAATCAACCAAATCCAAATATTATTCCAAAGAATGAAGTGGACCTATATAATCCTCCAAACCAGACACCAAGGAAGGTCAGAAGATCAAGTGCTGAAAAACCAGGAATATTGACTATTGGAATTTGAGGCATGTCAAGGAAGCACGACTAGCTATATCAAGTTGCATCATGCACGGTATAAAACTATCTAGATAACATAAACATTTTTCTCATTCAGAAAATAAAGTGAAAGAAAGGAAAAGGTGGAATTTCAGGGTACGTAACAGACTTTAGATAGCAGAGCAGCAATCTCTTACCTGCATTGTAGTTTACGACAAATAAGGGAGGGAAGTGACCCAAAGCTGATATTCCAGATGTACTAGAAGTACAGCTGATTTTATTCCTCTGACACACGCATGTATTTATCCCTTCAGGCCTCAGTTCGTTGATAAGGGTAGATTGCCCTAGATCCTTATAGAAAGGTTGCCAACTGAATTGGCCATTGGCTTCTCGTTGGGCTGTCATTTGAAACCAGAGGTTATATTGTTTCTGAAATTCTGCTTATCAAAAGAATATGAATGGAACCTTCTTTTTTAAAAATAAAAAGCTGTCAGGAATCAATTAAGATGCTAAAATTCATACCTCAATGCTAAGGTTATGAATTTTCCACCCCGTTTCCACCTAAAGCAAAAGAATAGCTGCTTGAATCCTTCATATTCTTGGCTGTCGTGACATAATAGACAATCAATGAACCGAAAACATTTTACTATACTATATAATGAGCCAATCTGTTTAGATAAGTTTAAATTCTCTTTTAATTTTCACATTTGTTTTTAGATTCTCATAATCACCAAACAATCCTATCCTTTAACCTTAGCATAGTAACATAGATTTTTTAATATAGTGACACCATTATGAATGCAAATTGATATTGAAGAATATTAATTGCTAAGTATATAGAATATTATCATGGAAAATCAGGATAATTATGACTGATCAGAATTTCAGATAAACCAAAGGTTGCAGCCCCTTCTTCTTGTGAAAATTTTACTCAATAATGAGTGACTGAGTACATTTTTTGTATGGTGTTATAAAGTGATAGCATCTAATCCCAATTACATCAACAAAGTGTTCTAGGTTAACAAGGTTAACACAATCACTGCTTTCATTCAACTTGTACAGCTGCAATTTATGTGCATATAGAGCTCCACGTTATCTATTGCAAAGAAGAGGCAGAAATAGACAAATATAAAGCCAAGAGAACCTAATTCGACACATTTATGTGCTGTGAATAATCAACCTTTAGCTTGCATCCCTTATTACTTCTCCCGGTGCACCTCATACACTTTCGCACCCTGTCCTACATGATCCAGAATAAACTATGTTGACAGTCAGTTCACACTATAGACTCGTGAAATCCTTGTCTGATTAAAAGTATCTGGCTTGCATCACATGTTTTACAGCATTAAGAGACTGTGTTTTATAATGACAATAGAAATTTTAATGCAAAATGTGATTTAACTTCAATAATAAATTGTAAATGCAGTATGTCATGGAAGTAAAATAAACAACACTTAAAGTTGAAAACAGACTGTAAGGTAATTAGATTTCTGAAGGACTAATGAAGTTGTTTCAGCTCACATTTTTTATTAAACCACGGTTGCACTTCCTTTTCAACAGACATTGACCGCTGCCCTTGACTGTTTAAAATCCTGTGGATACACTGAAATTTATAACTACATTAGTCCCTTATTATGTCAACTAATGAACACAAAGTACTGATATTCAGCATCCAAATGACACTATGGATTATATTTCAGCAGGAGAAAGTGCTATTTAACAAATCATGACAACAATGTTTCCAATTCAAACTCATTACTAGTCCTTGATGACTAATCCAATTGTAGCAGTTCTCGCCAACGGCGAATCTTTTGTAGTAGCTCTTAGGTGTCTTCCAATGTGAAAAAGTTCATAATACTTTGAATCCAGACACGGTCCTACATCATGTACGGTCAATCAACACATTGATTTTTTCTAAAGATATCTTTACTGAAAAAAATGGAACCCTCTTATATTCTATTTCTACTATAAGCAGCTCCAAACTGAAGATTGCATCTTAGGAACATCGGCATATCTCATTTTCTACAGAACTCCAGAAATAACTAGGTACCCAGCAGAAATGAGAGATGAGATTTTGGAATAAAAGGAATCTCATTATCGAGCACCATTTCTTCCACAACTTTTAAGCACTTTATCAAATAAATTTATAAAAAGGTATAATGCAGTGACCTAGTTGGACTATAAATAGATGGCATGATAGCTCATACTTACTCACAACAAAAGCAAGACATCCAATTGTGAATCCTTCTCACAATACTACATTCAGTCTTCATCTACCAGCTTCCTTTTTAAATCCAGAAATTTCACAAAGATAGAAAAAAAAAAAAAAAAAAAAAAAAAAAACACAACAACAAAGGAGCCATTTTCATCTCCCAAAACCTAAGGTTACAAAATTCTTGGTAATTTACAAGCAATGGATGTTGTGAACAGATTGGTTGAAGAGAAGCCTTTGGTAATCTTTACAAAGAGTTCTTGTTGCATAAGCCACTCAGTGATGCAACTCATAAGCAGCTATGGAGCAAATGCAACAATCTATGAACTGGATAACATGTCCAATGGACAAGAGGTAGATAAAGCTCTCCAAAGACTAGGGGTTAAGCCAAGTGTACCTGCTGTTTTTATAGGACAAAAATTAGTTGGTGGAGCTAAAGAAATTATTAGTCTGCAGGTTCAAGGAAGACTTGTGCCAATGCTGAAGGAGGCAGGAGCTTTATGGGTTTAGAATAAAAGAACTTACATCTAGCAAGAAAAATATAAATCCATAATTTTCAGGTTTTTGTTTTTTTGTTGTTGCTTTAATTTTCAAAATTGTAACTAGAAGGATGTATATTCTTCGTTTTGATCCCCTTCTATCTATCTTTTTAATGATTAGATGGAAGGGTATATACATTAGCCCCTAGTGTAAGAAGCTGGCTACATTCCGTGGCGTAATCAAAATATTCAAGTAATGAGTATCTATTTCGTAAAAACTTTTGTAAACCTTCCACATTAATGTAATATTTCGCATTGCCTCGATTGATCATATAAATCCAGCATCATATGTCAAACTTTTGAGTTGTACAAATTATTATTGTGGAGCAGTCCCAGTTTGGAGACAAATATACATAAAAATGACACAAGAGAATAGTCTTGCAAATATAATAAATATGGATAAAGCAATAACTATCTTGGAGCACCAAGAGTAGAAAAAATAAATGAAAATATTTGAATTAATTTTAAGTGTAAATGAAGATTATTCAAATACACAAATGACTAGATTCTATAATTGCTTGTACGAAATAATTTAAGTTAAACTTTTGTCATTTATTAGGGTTGTTACTCTTCCTATTACAGCCTTTTGGTTCCGCCTCTTTATCTGATAATATATTAACAGTATAAATAAAAAATGTTACGCTATCCTGACTTGACTGATTCTACATACGAAGATACTTCGTAGGTATTTAGTCAATTAATTAGGAACCTCATCTTGGAACAGAATATTTTCAAGTGAAGTGGTGTAGAAAGTATGAAAGAGTTGTCCTGAAGTAAAATTTAGACTAATGTCAGCCGAAAACCAGGCTTTTTGTATATGACTAAGACACCAATGTTCCATGTTAATCAAAAACAGGTTTTAAGAGGGTTAATCTTGGGGGGGGGTTGATATTGTTATATTTACTGTATTTCCATGCTTGTCTTTCAGTGATTTCGATGAAAGGACCTTCTTACAACATTAAAAAACAAAAACTTTTCTACAATTCAGTGCAACATTGTTTCTCTTGTTACTTCTGACTTTCTGAGCATCAGATTTCTAGTCATAAACCTTTTTGAAGAATTAATCACTCTTTGTATACGTTTAAAAAGAGTTTCTATTCTTTGGTAATTGATTTTCTAAAATTCCTGTTTATTCATAAAACTTTAATTAAAAATTCTATTGCTACACTATGTAAACAAACATTATACTTCATATAAGACAGTGACATTACAATTAACGACGCATGACACTCCAGTTTCAACCAAAAACATGTGTATTTTCCAGAGTCGCCTAGCTAAGTCTTAGACATGTATCCTGATCTATAATTAGTAGTCTGGTCAAAGTAATGTAGGCAGAATGTAAATGGTCGGTAGATGACTATGAAAAGCCAAAGTGAGGTTATGACCAAAAAAGACAAGCTAGCTACAATCCAAAGCCTTCGACAAAATCTAATAAACTTTGGTAAAGAATGAGGATCAAATGAATGACGAACCTCAGATTGAAAAGAAAGCACCAACAAAGATGCAAAACGGAATGATTTCCTTCACACTACATCAAGTTGCCACATCAGACTTAAGAATATAATTTGCAGATAGTCACAGTTTTGGCATGCAGTTGCACACTTGCACATAGAATACTTAAGAAGAAATTATCATTATACCATCATGTTAACATTGAGATAATATTATTTTCTCAGGCTTTGATTTAATCTACAGGAACTTTCTCCTTTGGACATCAGGAAAGTTAGCTAAAGCACACATGTCCAACATCATCAATTTTAGCAAGTTGCAAACATTAATAGATATCTTATAAGAGAGCATAAAATAAAATCTATGTGATGCCAAGAACTGACCTTACATCCTGGCTTCATGGATGAGAAAAGATTAGAATTTGTTGCATGATGGACTGTTGCTTTCCGTCCGTATAAATGTACCATCAAATAAATCAATCTGAAGAAGCATATTCCCTTCCTGCAAAATATTTACTTGTTAAGAGGGTAGTTGTCCCTAGACTAATATGGCCCTTAGCATCCTGTAAAGCTGATGTGTTAATACAATCATGAATCTACAAGGTATTCAAAATCTAATTTTTATTTTTAGATTTGCAATAAACTCAGGGATCTTAATTTTTTCCCCTTTTCTTGCTCTTTTTTCCCTTTTTTTTTTCTTTATTGTTCTTCAGTTCCAACCCATTTAAAAGGTGCATTATAGTCAATATTCATAGTCAATAGACTCAATATTGATATTTGATAGCATAATGAAGAGACTATACTACCAACCACATTAATTGTATAGTGTTGAAAATTATAACTCTTCAAAATGTTGTGAGACCCAAATTCCATAGCCTTCAAAATATATTCAATCTGAATTTACGTCAAGCATGGAGAAACACAAATTAACATTAAACTGAATTCTTTACATCATGTAAAGTACATCCGTACATGACAAGGGACATTGAGAAAAATCTTCCAAAATCATTCCTGAAGTGGCTAAGCATGATTATTCTATGGATTATTTTCCTATTCCAACCTTTTCCTACTGTCAACAAATATTGAATCTGAACCTCTTAAAGAATAATACAATTTAAGGTCGGTAGGTTAAATGCAGTAGTCATTTCAGGTTTTATTAAGCCATATGCATTTTCGATAAAGATTTCTTTTGGTGCCATGATGAGGGAATAAACCACTCCACTTGTTGGGATTGTCCTCATCTAACTTACTTCCTAGGACTATTCAGTTTACTTGTCCTTATCCTTAAGAAACGCAAGCTTAAGCTTCAAACTTGCAGATGGACCCATCCAAAAACATTTTACAAATCTCTAGTTTTTTTTTTTTATCAAGATTTGCAGTAAGGATATAAGATGGGGTCTACAGTCAAATCAACAAGAAACTAAGAAAGCAACAATAATCAAATCACCACTACAGAAATCCTACCAAACATAAGGTCAAAACAAAAAAACAAGGAAGCTAAATTGAATAACAAAAGCAAAATACATGTTGAAATTTTGTGGACCTTACTCCATTTCATTTTAATATTCACTAGTTTTTCATGCACTTTCAGACCATGCATTTCAAAGCATCTACAACATAAAATGTGAAGAAACTCTAAAGTAGCATATGAAGTGGAGTAACCTCCCTTCACTTTTTAGTTAAAGTATACTTGGGTAAGGGTAAGGGTTTGTAATTCTCTATATTTTACATTACCATAAGCAAGAATTATATTCATTAACATGACTATATGTTCCTTTTAATTAAATATTTAAAAGGATAGCATCAAAACGTGTGAAAATTTATCAGCTTAGAGATGCCATAATTGGAAAGAATTTTTTTATTAAAGCAGTGCTTATGACTTTTTTTACAGAAAAGTTTTCTTTTTTTTTTTTCATGCTATGGGAATAATGTATAGTATTTTGGCGCTTCTAACTTATCAAAAACTTCAATTTTTAAGTATAGGGTGGAGATGGGAATAACATAACGTATAGCAAGTATGTGAACTTAAAATGTGAATTAATAAGTTTGTGAAAGGTTAACACAAAATTCATCTTATTATTAGAATATGTTTCAAGCACATTATACCCCGCACCCTAGTCCAATTATACGACAATGTTAATATGCTTAATATATAACATAATAGACACTTGTATATGCTTAATATATTACATAATTGACACTTGTATATGTACTCATACGGTCATACTCGAAACTTGAATCCACATCAAGGTATCATAGGGGACTGGAAATCATATAAATGGCTTTTATAAAGGCATAAATGAACACCCTGTAGAACCTCATACTCATACCATTAATAAACATACCTGGCTCCTCCATAGCCAAAGGTGGTGGAAAAGTTGTAGACAAAAAGAGAAAAAAGCATATTGTAATCCTGCCATACATGAGAGAATAACAAATAAGGCAATTACTCCCGAATTTGTACAATGCTAATTACATACCAAATGCCTTTTGGACCACATGAATTTCCACTTTTAGTACGGCCACCTTTAGATTTTTTGGTCTCTTGTGAAGCAATAGAAATAGTCCTAAGATTCTTGATCACTTTTGAATCAAATATTGTATATTACAACAATTTGAACTATTCTGAGAATGAATAGAAACGAAGTATTGGTTCATATTTTATCCCCTGATTATATACTAACTTATTATGCAAATAGAAAAACTAACAGATAAAACACAGATTAGCCGTACCAAATGAATATTCAGAAGGAACAGTAAATTTCTCATATCATATCAGATTGTGTTATAATTTGCGAGGAGCAATAATCAACTACTTGACCAAATATTGGTTTAGTGGCAGAAAGAAAAAATTGATATGTAATAATATGAAGTTGATCAAATGATAATTTGTGTATGAAACATATGACTTAAGTATTATTAACTTCGTTTTAATTATACAGCGTGGTAGTATAAGGACAGCATAAATGTGAGACTTGTGGCTGTTAAACAAAATCAGATAAAATCAAACCATGAAAATAGCATAACTTCAAAAATAAATGAATTAATCTAAAACCTATGTGTCACTCTTGATTATAGCCTGTAACTGAACACGTAAAAACTATAACTCCCTCAGTCTAGAATTCATAGTTACATATGAAATTTGAGACGATCGAAAACAGATGTTACATTTGCTAGATAAAGATTAATCACGCATAAATTTTCAAACGTATCCCCACTTAAATGGAGTGCTAGATACATGTGAAAATAAAGCAGCTATTAAAAAAGGCATGTGTACTTGTGGTGAAAGGTGAAACCTTATATATGAGAAATTAGGGCAGTGTGACAATTAATTCTGGAAAAAGAGAGTACATAGTTTTAAATGAAATTGAAATTCTATCTAAACAAATGGTAATAAGATAAAAAAATAAAAAATAAAAAATAAAAAAATCATTCATTTTGCTGTATGTTCTATCGGCTTGACCAGATCATCATCAAAAAATGATGAGTTCAATGATTCTGAATAATCTGTCTCGTAGTTAGTCACTTTCTCAATGAATAAAATCACCCATTTCTTTATTTCTTCCTCTCGTTTTCATAGGATTGCACTTAGATTATATGTAACTAGTTATAAAGAGATATGGAAGAGATTTGGGAAGGTACTTAAGTCCGAAGCAAAACTTATGGGTTTCTACAGTAAGATACTTCTGAGATATGACACTTCGCAAAAAAAAAAAAAAAAAAAAAAAAAAAAAAAAAAAAAAAAGTGCTTAAAAATGTTAAGCATAGTCTCCCATTGTAATCTTGAGGCGTCAACATTGAGAAATAGGAAGGATTATTTCAGGATAATTCCTTATTATCCTTTTAGTTAAAGGTAGCTACGTAAGGAATTTTACTAGTTGCCCGGGTAGTATAAATAGAAGGGTGTAGCAACTCAGAAAACTCAGCACAAAACCAATAGCCTTTTCACAAGTTTCAAAAGATATAACATCATCTCAGGCTTCTCATCATCACTCTTCCACCAAATCAAAACAAAAGAAGAAACCCAATATTGTTTAAGTCTCTAAATATGGAAGTAGTTCAGCATTTAGTAGAAGGAAAGCCAGTGGTGATATTCAGCAGGACTTCCTGTTGTATGTCCCACTCAATGAAACAGCTTATCAGCAGCTATGGAGCAAATGCAACAGTTTATGAGCTCGATGAAACTCCACAGGGACATGAAATTGATACTGCATTGCAAAAACTTGGGCAAGTACCTAGTGTGCCTGCGGTCTTTATCGGGCAGAAGTATGTTGGTGGGGCTAAAGAAGTCATCAGCCTTCAAGTTCAAGGAAGACTGGTGCCAATCCTAATGGAAGCCAAGGCCATTTGGGTTTGATGATGCATCAGATTTGTAACCTTTTCTTTATTTTTTGTTCCCCTATTTACCCACTCTCTACATCATAAGAGTCTCTTAATCCTCTATCTAATTCAGCCCTTAAATCAGGTCTGGAACTAGTTTTGTAGATCATGATTATAATTTATAATGTAATATATGTTATCAACACTTCCAAAACTTTAGAAAAAGTCATTTGTACATGTACACTTTCTTTGTTTGAATCCTCCATTTTCATGATGCTCAATTATCCAAATTTTATAACATTTTAAACTAATTTTCAGCTAGAAGTCTAATATAAACCATAAGCCAACATATTTACCTTCATCCCTCTTATGTAATATGGTACCGCAAAGGTGGATGTTCACTCCCCTAAAGAATCTTCATATGCTGTTTTACCTGGATGAGAAAAAATAATTCCATTTATTTCATAATTACATGTTTTGCTGAAAGCTGCTATTAAAGGATCATAGTTGGGGGAAAAAGAATTTCCCAGGCCACCAAACAGGTATATCACTGCACCTTAAGCATCAAAACAAAGGAACTTGTTTTGAGCAATCATAATGGCAAAGCCAATAGATGAAGGAAACGGCAAAAAGAAGCTGAAATATTTATAGAACTTACAATTAACACTCAAAACTAAAGGCAATAAATCACACAGAATGTATGAATTTCACACATTAGACACTCAAGAACACAAAATCCATATTATCAGTTATCCAGATCTGTTCCAAAAATTCTAGTTTAACTAGTTATATCCTTATTCAGTGATCGCTACTCCATGGTGGCGAACTGTGATGGTCATCCAAAATATATATTTCATTATTCATAGCCTCACATTTTGAACATATATCAATGAGCAAAGCTTTGAGTTCGATACGTAGAGTACTGGATAGTAGAAGCATGCTAAAAAGTAAGTGTTCAGTTAGTAATTCATATCTTGTGTCATATTGTTTTGAACCATGTTAGAAGCCTTAGTCCCAAAATGATTTGGGTCCGGCTAACATGAATCGTCATAAGAAACCGTACGATATTATAATAAAATAACATAACAAAATAACCATTTGAAAGAGTTTGAAAAAAGGTGAGTAAAGTGAGAAAAAGAGAGCATCCAAGAAAAATTAAGGGAGTTTAAAAGATAACTAAGAATAAAATTCAATAAAGTTTTGAAAAAACTTTTCAAGGAGTGGTTAAAACATAAGAGTAAAAAAACATAAAGGTTTGAGAAAACTATGACATGGTGAAATATTTCCAATTTGTTAATCCAAGCCAAAATGGCATGCATTTTAATAACAGCAAGATACAGATTTGCAGCTCTTTCTTTTTATTACACCTTATACATTAATAATTGCAATATTAGACAAAAAGTAAACCTGTTATTAGTAAATAAGGCAGCTAAAATATTAAAAATTGTAAAGAGTTGATTTCTAGGGGAGAGATGCAAATATGGAGGCTACTAGCTAAGTTATTCTTTCTCTGGTTCTTTCAAAAGTAGAAATCATAAAAGAGAATGGAGAAGGAAAAGAATGATGAATTGTGATCTATTTAAGTGAAGGTACAGGGTCAGGAGTCAGGACTGTTATACGTAGTATATTGACTTGTAACGAATCAATAAGACTAATACAAATAAGAAACAGATCTATACAGCCTATATGTTGGAAAATTTTGTACATCAAGAGGATCCTTTACACCAAAATCAAGTATGCTTCAGTGATGCATAGACATTACTGTAGTGGACTAGTGGGTGCAATCACAGCCGTCATGATTGCAATTTAAAACTCTACATTATCACAAGTATTTCAACATTGTAACCTACTTAATAACACTAAGTGCCCCCAACTAGCATATGGTGTAGTAAATGACATTTGATACAAGGCTAGTTTGGCAACCAAATGTTATCAATACAAAGTTGGATCTACAATACAGCTGACGGCTACGACATTTTAAGGACTTTATGGTACTGACGAGATGTTTGTGTATTTATGAAGATAAAGATCCGTTCTAATGTCTACAGTAACGCAACTCAACCCCCACATGTTTTTCATCATGATTTTGATTATTACTCGTTTTCATGAAGGAGTGGTATTGACTTATTGAGTAATAATGATATTCTAGGAAAAACACATATTTAGGGTAGTGTTATGTATTCGGATTACCCAATGCAAAATTACAAATGCTCCCATTACTGATTCCACAATTTTTTGCCGCCTACCAAATGGGCAGTTAAGTTACTTTCCTACAAGCAAAGTCAAGTTTGTTTACAACTCCAAATCGTAAAGTTTCATTATAAACGATAGAAACTAAGATAAAGGTGAAATCAAGATGAATTCCGCATACTCTACAGATTTTGAGCAAATTTAATTATTCCATCCAGAAAGCAATCAAGAAAAATATTTAAAAAAGAGAAGGAAAAACCCACCAATATGAAGAAGCCACGTCGAGCAGGGATCTTCAGCTTAGAGTACAAAAGGTTTTGTCCTGCATACATTGATCTGATGTTAAAAGTGAAGATGATTTTTGTAGCAGAATTGATAAGAATACTTTCAGAAAAAGTAAACTTTTTCAATTATGATATCACGTATGCCACATTAAGAGTGAGTATTTATCTTCAGGATCAAGAATAAGAATCCCTTTTGTTGTAGCATCCTATTCATCAGAGCATCAATAAAGTTATAACAATTCACCAATAAGCTCTCTAGAAAGCTAGAAAGAGATGTTTGGATTGCAAATTTTGGCAACTTGCATATCGTCATGTTTATGAGATGCGAGGAGTCGTTCTTGTATCTCTCTTTCTTTCATTTTAAATAAATTAAATATATAATCAGATAAGATTACTTTAACTACAATAACAGAAACCCTTCCGTACTTGGCCATTTTCTGCAACCAGAAGTCAAAATATATAAAACTTTTTGCAGTCATCATTTTTAATGTACATATATAAATTTAAACTGGCAAGTCAAGTTTAATAAACTCCTTTCATTTCACAATAGTTTCATTAAATTGACTTTACACTATTCTCAAATTAACTGTGACCATGTTTAATTACTGAAGTATATAGCAATAAATATCATTGTTTTTTTTTAAGGCAATATCAATATCATTGTTTTTATTGTGGTTGGTTTAATCTGAATCTATATTGTAAAATATATTGTGGTTAATTTTTGTTGAATATAATTAAAGATATTTAAGGTTAAAGTAATGCAAAAGTGCATCATTAAATGATGCAATTATTATAAATCGAAGAAAGTACTAATTAATAAGATAAGGCAACTTTACAGCCATGATGATAAAAGTGATAAATAACAAATTGGTAAAATATAATCCCAACTTTCATGTATTCGCTTTAAATAATCTCAAATATGAATTATTTTTAAACAATCCGAATTATGAGTTACCCGTTTTTTTATTTTTTTATTTTTATTGTTTCTCTTCTTTGACTACACTCAATACCCACCACCGCCCTTTGCCTCCATCCCAACCACCAAATCTCCTAGCCACCACCACTTAACCATCAATGGTGTCAAACCACCTCCTCTCTCCCTTTCCCCGCCTTACCCAACTGCCGCCGACCTCCTCCCTGCACCGAAAGGTCAAAAATGGAGAGGGGGAGAGAAAGAAAAGGGCGGTGGTTAATTGACGGGATCGGAGGGCGTAGTTTCGTGGCTAAGGAAGGTGAGAGAGGATGGTTTCAAGGCTGGGAAAGGTGCGGCAATTTCGAGGCTGGGCAAGGGGAGGGATAAGGTTTTTGGGCTAGGCAGCAAGCGGAGGGGAAAGTGTCGATGGCTGGCTGGGAGGGGATGTGGGTGGTGTGGCTGCGCAAGGAGAGGGTATTCGTGGTGGTCATGGGAGAGTGCGGTGGCGGCAGTGGTGGAGAAAGGGAGGCATTAGTGGCTGGGTTTTTATTTTTTAATTTATATATTTTTATTTTTAAACTTATTTTTATGTAAAAAAAAAAATAACAAATCACGTGATGCCACATGTTCCAATAACCTGTTATAATAGGTTAGTAATCGGTTAGGGACCAAAAAAAGTTGGGATTATTTAAAAATAATCCAAAATTGGGATTATTTAAAAATAATCCAAAATTGGGATTATTTAAAAATAATCCAAAATTGGGATTATTTAAAGCAAATACGTAAAAGTTGGGATTATTTTTACCAACTTTTCCAATTGATAATTGTGATCAAGTTCAAAGCTTTTTTCAGCCTGTAATTTGCAATTGAACAAACGACAGTAGACATGACAAATTTGTTTCTCTACTTTACAGTCCAAATGCAAGACACTTTTTTGTTAAGCAAAAATTAAATGCAGATAAAAGTTATGGCTAAGTTGTTTTCTTATTTCATCTATCCAAAAAGTGAAAGAAAAAATTAAAAATAAATAAAAAGAGTAAAGGAAGCGCAGGGAATCTCTGAAATAGAAGAATACCTATCTCTTATATATGAAGAGGTCAGTTGCCCCTAGCTTGTCACAGAAAGCGAGGAATTTTTTTTGGCCCTTGGGCATACATTGAGCTGGTTACACAAGTATTAGACAGCAGAATGTTGAGCAAGGGATTTTTTTCACGAACTCTATAGTATGAGGCATATCTGTAACAAAAAAGTGATGGAATCTCAGTAATATCTGTATTAATTTGAAGCTATCAACACAGATCAAGAATATCTAAAACCAATTAATTAAATCTGGTTTTAGTCTTTATTAGTAAAATCTGGTGTGTATAATCTATTTTGTCTTCTACGCAGATGTATTGGTCAAACTGACTGCTAATATGTATTCACAAAATACTCCACTACCCTCAATGTGTGCAAATTGTTTTTCGAAATCAACAAAGCTTTCTATATGATTTAATTGAAGTTCTTAATTTTGGCTTAGTACTAAAATCTTAGTGCAATATGGAGTCTTATAAGATCTTAACAGGCATGAGGCAGACTAAGTGACTAACTAAACAGGAAAAATGGTTAAAAGGTTATTCAGAAGAATGTCTATAAGAGGGTAAGACAGAACAATTTAAATTATTATGAGATTTATTAATCCAGAGCATTAAGGGAAGATTACAATGGTAAGACTGGTAACACCCAATCCTTGACCTGCATTACATTCCTAGTTTGTCCCATTCCTTGACTAATTATTTCTTTTCTGCTGCAGTGGGAAAAAAAGAACAATGACATACAAATGAAAAATGATAAACTTTCCTAGGAGAAAATTAGTGATATATTAAAGAAACGAAAAATTGTTCTGAAGTTAAATTGGATAGAGGTTAGGTGGTTGTCATTGCCTATAAACTGTCAATCCAATAAAAGGTTGCTGCTGATACTAAGGTACTGGCATTTATAAGACAAACCAAGACCGTCATGTGTCCTTGAGCGACAGGGCATATTACTTAAATAAAATGCCCTAATATACAAGTTGATATACAATGCAAGGTAGGGTTAAAAGTCTTAAAAAGGAGAAAAATGTCATCATCCACCAGCGATGGATTTAACCAAGAATAGAAAGGGACTACTTTGCTCCGCACCATATTCTTTATCAGACAACTCTTAGGAATGCTAGACTAGCACTCTATAAATAGAGGCCTTTACTTCAATAGTTTGATATACATGCAAAGAACCATTTGTCTTTCAAACAGAGAAAACAAAAGACCAACATTTTGAATCACTAATCTTGCTAAAACCTCTCCTTCTCATCAAATCATAGCTGTGGTAACTGCATCATGGATACAGTAAACCGTTTAGTGGAAGACAAACCAGTGGTCATCTTCAGCAAGAGCTCATGCTGCATGAGTCATTCCATGAAACAACTGATAAGCAGCTACGGAGCAAACCCAACAGTATATGAGCTGGATGAACTTCCAAATGGAAGGGAAATAGATCGAGCATTACAAAAGCTAGGGTGTAAGCCAGGAGTACCAGCTGTGTTCATAGGCCAAAAGCTCATAGGCGGGGCTAATGATGTCATAAGCCTCCAAGTCCAAGGCAAACTCGTACCCATGTTAATGGATGCTGGTGCCATATGGATTTGGAACAGAACCAATTAATAATACAAGCAATTGATTAGGATTAAGAGAGGATAAGTAATTTTTGATTTCCTTTCTTAAACCTGTTTTTTGACTTTTTTTTAAATCTTAGCTAGCATATAGATTTAGAAAAAAGGATAAGGAAAAGGAAAGTGAGTACTAGCAAGAATTAGCATAATGAGCTAAGGTGACCATTGAACCACCACTCACCAGACAACAGCTTATTCATAGACATTTATAATGAAGTTTAGAAGATTTTGTCCTGTTTGAAAAGGCAAATGCTGAATTGCTGAAATACTGTGCTTAATTTTACTAATGCCCCCCCCCCCTCTCCGCCCTTTCTTCTGCCAGGTTGCCACATCCTAAAAATGAACGAAGATATCCCTTATCACACTATAGAATATTAACAACCAGATCTGAACAACAAAACAGGGCGGGAGGAGAATCCCCCAGCCAGTGCAGTAAAAGAACAGAAAGGACCATAAAACAATGATCAAAGGTAAAAGAAATTAGTCTTGTTTTTCCAGAATATGTTGAAAGGCAAAATATAGAATAGGAGACTGACTGGCACAGAGGAATTCAGAGCTCCAATCAATGGAAGAAACAAAATTTTCTATTAGTCTCTATCATGTAGAACTCTATTGTTACTTTGGAATTTCCCTTCTCTTTATTCGTATTTCCTACCCCTCTGTGTTCTCTAATTCGTCCAGGTGCAGTTTTGTTTGGGTTCTTTGAAATATTTATTGCTAACACTCAGAACTAGATAGAGTAGTGAATTAGTGATCTTCTTTCTCTTATAAAAATTTATGAAAAATAGGCGACTCAAAGCTGATGTTCCATCAGTACTTGAAGTAACACTAATTTTATTCCACTTATACAGGCATGTCCGATCAAAATTGTCAAAGATTTTGATAAGGAGTTGATTCCCTAGATCCTCAGATAAATGTCAAAAAATTGTAGCAACCCCAACAGTTTATGAGCTCAAAAAGTCACAAACTGAAAGGAGATAGTAGAGTAATGAGCAGCCTAGGGTGCAAACCAAGCATAACATTTTTCCATTAAGACATGCACAAACATTTAATTTAGAAGAAGAGAGTAATACTTAATGTTAATATCGTATATCTGTGTCAAAAAAAATGTTGTATATCATAATTGGAATATTTGTGACATAGCATGCATGACCTGAAACTCAGTGAAGATTTAATAAAGTTCAAATTCGTTAAATAAAGTAATTATCTGAGTTTGAACTTTGAAAAAAATCAAATTCGTTAAATAAAGTTCAAATTAAACTCAATAACTTTTATATACTAAATATACTAGAATCATCAAAAATCAGTATTAATCAATAAAATTCTATTTTCATCATCAAAAACCAGCTGCAATCAGTAATTATCAGTTGCAATCAATAATAAAATCAGACTAACAGGTAAAAAATATGTCAGTTCAATACTCATAAATCAGGTGAAGATAACAGAGCCATACACTGCTTCATTGTCCAGTCATAAGCATACCATAAGCAATTATCTGGCCCATTAAACAAATCAAAGAGGAAGAGGGCTGCAATCCAAAGTGCATATGAACTATAGATAAAGCCACAACCATTAGACATAAATTCCTTTAGCAATATTGCAAGGAATTAAATAATATAAATAAAAGAAATATTTATACCTGCTCTTGGATCAAGAGACTGAGATTCGATGCTTTAAAGTATTACTGTAGCAGATTTTTCCCCTCAGGGCAGTAGCACTGTTGCATTGTACCTTTAAAGGAGACCTTTAAACATGCATTAGTTTCTATCTTTTGTCCATGACATCTACACAACAAGAAATGAGAAAATACATGATTACCATACATGGCTTGTGAGCTTACATAATCATATTAACTTCCCAATCATATGCAGAGAGAATAAAGTCCATCTTTCAAACTGTCACAGATTTTCTTTTCTTTTTTTTCATATATTTTGTAGTTCTTTTCAAACAAGAGGTTACAAAATTTTGATCCTGAATACATTAGCAGAAAACAACTTCATTTTAGAAGCATGGCAATCAGAAGACAAACAAAAGATACCATAAATGAGAAGATTGTATTGCACCAACATTTTTGACAGCATTCTGTATGTCCAGTTTTCCAAACCAGTCTTCACAACTGAAAATAATACATTTTATACAGCTTCTACAACAAAGTAAAATATGAAAGATACATATTGTGTAGGATGAGGATCTCGTATATTGAGGATATGAAAGGGAAAGAGATGAAGTACTGTTCACCAGTAATCCCCACAAGAACAGACTCCATCCTTAAAATGATGGAACCTCCTCACATCACGAAGAATAATCTCTCTCTTTTCAATCTTAGAAATAAACTTCGTAGCTGTATGGCAATCATTGCAAACTCTTAGGTTCTTAGAAACACGAATTGTACATCCAGGAGGCGTATTTAGGATGCCAAATGCTATTGCCAATCTCTCACTATGCCCACATAATAGACTCTCCTTTTCCTCTTCGTCAAGATTGTGAAGAACACAGGAAGTGTCAGGAACATAACCCTCCTTTTTTATCCTTTCTGACAAGTCCTCTATGAAACCATGCAGCTGCTCACTTTGTGGGTGCAATGCATCACCTGCAAGGAATTTATGAACCTTATCACCAAACTCAATCCAACTGCATCCGGGTTGTTTTTTCACTCCCATCTGCTTCATATTTTTCCTGACTTCTGTTGCCTTCTCCCAAAGCCCAGCTGACGAATAGATATTGGAAAGTAAAACATAATGGCTATCTATGTGTGGTTCCAATTGAATAAGACTCCTTGCGGCAACCTCTCCCAGTTCTACATTCTTGTGCACCTGGCAAGCACCCAACAAACTGCTCCAAGCACCTGTTTTATCATATTGAGCAGGCATGCTACTGATGAGCTCATATGCCGCATCCAGTTTCCCTGCTCGACCAAGCAAGTCCACAACACAAGCATAGTGATTAGCAGTAGGATTAATTCCATATTTGTCGCTCATGCTGTAAAAAAGATCTAGTCCTTCATTAACCAAGCCAGAATGGCTACAAGCTGCAAACACAGCAATAATTGTAACTTCATTGGGCTTCGTGTCACTACCCTGCAAAGCCTCAGCAGCCATTTCCCGAAACAGACTAAGTGCTTCCTCTCCTAGCCCATGCATACCATAAGCCATGATAAGCACATTCCACGTTATCACATTCTTCTTCGGCATAAGATCAAATACTCTTTTCGATACATTCAAACATCCACATTTTGCATACATGTCAACTAATGCACTTCCAACAGCGACATCTGATGCCATATTGTTTTTAATGGCATAGGCGTGGATCTCTTTCCCTTTAGCCAGTGCTGATAAGGAAGCACAACCAGGAAGAACAGCCATAAGAGTAATTGAATTTGCCCTATGAAAAGTTCTAAAATCATACTCATGTTCATCCTCACTATCATTAAGTCGTTGCATCTCATGAAGCAATAGAAGAGCCTCGCTGTGCTGTCCACAGACAACAAAGCCAGTTATCATTGTGTTCCAGGAGACAATATCCTTCTGTTCCATGCTATCAAATATGTTTTTGGAAATTTCAATCTTTCCTATCCTAGAGTACATATCCAATAGAGCATTTTGTACGTAAGTATTCCTGTCAAAGCCCAATTTGATTACAAATCCATGAATACCTTCTTTATCTAAGAATTCTTGACTGTGAACACAGGACGGGAAAACACTTGCCATAGTGGTGGGATTCGGGGAAACCCCTGCAACTTCAAGCATTTCAATGAAAAGCTTCAATGCGTCCTCAAAACGTCCATTTAGTGCATAACCAGCTAGCATAGCATTCCAAATAGCTATATTTCTCACTTGGGTGTTATCGAAAACTAAGCGACCACTAGTTACCTCTTTGCAATTGCTATACATATCAACCAAAGCACTAGTCACAAAAGTATTATCACTCAAAACTTCATTTCTAATCACATAAGCATGAATTTCTTTTCCTAAATGCAACAACTCCAAATGAGAGCAAGCAGGCAAAACACTTGCAACTGTTACTCCGTCCGGCCTAACCCCTTTCTGAACCATAAACTTTAAAAACTCCAATGCTTCTATGAAACGATCATTCTGTGAGAATGAGCTTATCATAGTATTCCAAGTGACCAAATCTCGTTCCTCAAACGTGTAAAGCAACGATTTTGCATAATCAACATTTCCCAATTTCGCATACATAGCCATCAATGAATTAACTATAAAAGTTCTCACATCTCCCTTCCTTAAACTATAACCATGAACTTGCTTCCCAAGCCTCAACCCATCAACAACCCCTAAATTCCCACAAACCAACACGATACTCACCAACGTAAACGAACTAGGCTCAACATTCTCCTCTTGCATCACCCAAAACGCCTCCAAAGCATCCTCCCACCCCTCATGCCTGCACAAAGCCGAAATAATCGAGTTCCACGAAACCTGATCTCTCTCAGACATTTTATCAAACACCTTACGCGCATCCCTAATATCTCCACATTTCCCATACATATTCACAAGGGTATTATCCACAGTAGTTGAATTCGACCCATACCCAAGTTTAAACACCTGGGTATGAATCTGTTTCCCAAAATTCAAATCATAAAGGTCTGCTGCAACCTTCAAAATGGCCGGAAATACAAAATTGTCCGCAACAACACCCGCCATTAACATGGAAATGTAGGTGGCAATGGCTTCCAGGAGAAGCCCAGAACGCGCTTGGGAACGAAGGGTTTCGACCCATGAATGCTTAGAGAGGATTTCTGAAGTGGATTTTTGAAATGGAGCAGAGGAAGTTAGAGTTGCAGAAGGTTTTTGCAGCAATGATGAAAAGTTTTGATGGGTTGGAAGAGAAGAAAGAGTAGAGGAAGAAGATGAAAGAGGGAGTAAAGTAGGAGAGAGAAAATGAGTGAAAGAGGAGGACATTGGTGAGGATTATTTTAAAGTTAAGGGCTCAAATTTTGGGAATATTTTGGTAGTTATGGTAGTTGATGAAGGTTTATCCTTTCCTCATCATTTGACCACGGGGGGACCCCCGGATGGTCTAGCAGTAAGAAGGCATTCCCTCACAACCTAGCATGAATTTCGTTCCTCCCTCCTACTCCTCGTCCATTGTAAACCTGGGCACGGGCCGGGTTGGCCCGCGTGCCGCCCGGCACGGCCCGCCGTTCGGAGCAGCCCGGCACGGCCCGAAGTCAAGCACGGCACGAAGTTCGACTTCCGTGCCACGGACACGGTGGAGAATTCCCAGGCACGGCCCGGCACGAGCACGGGCAAGGCCCGTCGTGCTGGCCCGCAGGCACGGCCCGCGGGCCAACGGCTAGTTAAACGGCTAGTTAAACGGCTATAAACGGCTAGTTTTTTGCCAAAAATTCTATAAATACTCACCTCCATTTCATTCCCAAATCACAAAATCACAATCTCTTCTTCTTATCTCTTATATTCTCTAAATCTCTAATAATCCTTATTTTCTTAAATTCTCTAATTATTCTCTTAAATTCTCTAATTATTTTCCTAATATCGGAAAAAATTAAAAAGTTCGTAATCGTAATTAGTGGAGCGTTGAAGCACGGTTGTAAGATCTAAACTAATCTTAAATTTATTATTGTTTTATTGTTATTATTAGAATAATCTTGTTTAATTATTATTGTTGTTAATTGTTATTGTTGTTGTTATAATTGTTGTTATTAATTATTATTATTGTTACAATTGTTGTTATTATTTATTTTTGTTGTTATTGTTATTGTTATAGTTGTTGTTATTAATTATTATTATTGATATTTTTATTGTTAAAATTGTTGTTATTAATTATTATTATTATAGTTAACCACTT